AAAAAGAGAACACACTATGGGACTCCGTTTATATGGAATTCTAACATAGGCAAAATTAATCTATGGTGATACAAATAAAATCAGTGGTTGTTTCTTATGGAAGGTACTTGCTGGGGTGATGAACATGTTCTATTTTTGGTGGGGTGTGGGAATACATGATTATGCATGCCTTTCATCAAACTGCACCCTAAGATCTGTTCATTTTACCAGTTCAAATTACACCTCAATGACAAATATTTTATTAAAAAAGGGAACTACAACTCTACAATCACCCAAAGCTAGATAAAGAAGAAATAGAACACCTAAACAGACCAATTACAAGCAGTGAAATTGAAATGGTAATCAAAAACCTCCCCAAAAACAAAAGCCCAGGACCTGATGGATTTACAAATGAATTCTACCAAACATTCAGAGACGAATTAGTGCCTATCCTTCACAAACTCTTCCAAAAAATTGAGAAGGAAGGGACAATACCAAACACGTTCTATGAAGCCAATATTACACTAATACCAAAACCGAATAAGGACAACACAAAAAAGGAAAACTATAGGCCAATCTCCCTAATGAACACTGATGCAAAAATCCTCAATAAAATTTTAGCTATCAGAATCCAACAATGTATCCATAAGATAATTCACCACGACCAAGTTGGATTCATTCCAGGGGCACAAGGATTGTTTAACATCCGAAAATCAATCAACGTTATCCAACACATCAACCAAAAGAAATATAAAAACCATATGATAATATCAATAGATGCTGAGAAAGCTTTCGACAAAGTGCAACACCCATTCATGATAAAAGCCCTTGAAATTCTTGGGATACAAGGAACATACCTCAACATCATAAAGACCATCTATGACAAGCCAACAGCCAGTATCATTCTCAATGGTGAAAAGCTGAAAGCAATTCCATTAAGATCTGGAACAAGACAAGGATGTCCACTCTCACCACTGCTTTTCAATATAATACTGGAAGTCCTAGCCAGAGCAATAAGACAAGAGAAAGACATCCAAGGAATCCACATAGGAAAAGAAGAAGTCAAACTATCACTATTTGCAGATGATATGATAATATACATAGAGAACCCCAAAATCTCCACAGAAAAACTAATTCAACTCATCAATCAATTCAGTAAAGTGGCAGGATACAAAATCAACACGCAAAAGTCAGTAGCCTTCCTATACACAAACAATAAATCTGAAGAAGAAGAAATCAAAAAAACCACCCCTTTTATTATCGAAACAAAAAAAATCAAATATTTGGGAATAAATCTAACAAAAGAGGTGAAGGACCTATACAAAGAAAACTATAAAACACTGTTAAAAGAAATAGAAGAAGACACAAAGAAATGGAAAGACATCCCCTGCTCATGGATTGGAAGAATAAACATTATTAAAATGGCCATCCTACCAAAAGCAATATACAGATTCAATGCTATTCCAATCAAAATCTCAATGGCATTCTTCAAAGAAATAGAACAATTATTGATGAAATTCATATGGAATCACCAAAAACCCCGAATAGCCAAAGCTCTACTGAAAAAAAAAGAAGGAAATGGAGGCATCACACTCCCAGACTTCAAACTATACTACAAAGCCATAATCATCAAAACTGCATGGTATTGGCACAAGAACAGACATACAGACCAATGGAATCAAATAGAAAATCCAGAAATAAACCCACAGATTTATGGTCAACTAATCTTTGACAAAGGAGCAAAGACTATGCATTGGAGCAAAGAAAGTTTGTTCAATAAATGGTGCTGGGAAAACTGGGTCGCTACATGCAAAAGAATGAAGCTTGACCACTACCTCACACCATACACAAAAATCAACTCAAAATGGATTAAAGAACTAGACATAAGACCTGAAACCATAAAATACATAGAAGGAAATATAGGCGAAACACTACGGGATTTGCACATCAAAGACATCTTTACAGACACATCACCCAAAGCAGTGAATAGCGAAGACAAAGATAAACAGCTGGGACTACATCAAATTAAAGAGCTTCTGCACAGCAAAAGAGACAATAACAAAAACAAAGAGAAACCCCACCAACTGGGAGAACATTTTTGCACCCAACACTAATGATAAAGGACTGATCACAAAAATCTGCAAAGAGCTGATGAGACTCAGCAACAACAAAGAAAATAATCCAGTCAAAAAATGGGCAGAAGAGCTAAAAAGAAACTTCTCTGAAGAGGAAATGCAAATGGCCAACAGACATATGAAAAAATGTTCAACATCACTTGTAATCAGGGAAATGCAAATCAAAACTACCATGAGATACCATCTCACACCAGTGAGAATGGCACATATTAAAAAAACTAGCAACAACAAATGTTGGCGAGGATGTGGAGAAAAAGGAACTCTCCTGCACTGCTGGTGGGAGTGCAAACTGGTCCAACCACTATGGAGAGCTGTGTGGAGATTTCTGGACCTACTAAACATAGAGCTTCCATATGATCCAGCAATTCCACTCCTAGGTATTTACCCAAAGGACACAGAAACATCAATTCCAAAGAACACCTGCACCCCTATGTTTATAGCAGCACTGTTTACAATAGCTAAGCTTTGGAAACAACCCAAATGCCCAAAAATAGATGACTGGATCAAGAAGATGTGGTACATATATACCATGGAATATTACTCAGCATTCAAAAAAGATAAACACATGCAATTTGCAGCAACATGGATGGCACTGGAAGGGATCATGCTCAGCGAAATAAGCCAAAAAGAAAAAGAAAAATACCGGATGGTCTCACTCATAGCAGGAATCTAGAAAACTTAAATAAGGGACCAGGAAAATGAATATAAGAAAGTGAAAATCAAAATCAACAAAAAACTATGAACCAGAGACACTTTTTGGGGGTGGGGGGCGGGAGGGGAAGGATTGGGGTCAGAATGGGGCGTTTGCAATTGTATGGGGGAATATAAAAATAAAATTTAATATTTTTAAAAAAAAAAAACTATACTACAAAGCCATAATCATCAAAACTGCATGGTATTGGCACAAGAACAGACATACAGACCAATGGAATCGAATAGAAAATCCAGAAATAAACCCACAGATTTATGGTCAACTAATCTTTGACAAAGGAGCAAAGACTATGCATTGGAGCAAAGAAAGTTTGTTCAATAAATGGTGCTGGGAAAACTGGGTCGCTACATGCAAAAGAATGAAGCTTGACCACTACCTCACACCATACACAAAAATCAACTCAAAATGGATTAAAGAACTAGACATAAGACCTGAAACCATAAAATACATAGAAGGAAATATAGGCGAAACACTACGGGATTTGCACATCAAAGACATCTTTACAGACACATCACCCAAAGCAGTGATAGTGAAGGCAAAGATAAACAGCTGGGACTACATCAAATTAAAGAGCTTCTGCACAGCAAAAGAGACAATAACAAAAACAAAGAGAAACCCCACCAACTGGGAGAACATTTTTGCACCCAACACTAATGATAAAGGACTGATCACAAAAATCTGCAAAGAGCTGATGAGACTCAGCAACAACAAAGAAAAGCTGTGTGGAGATTTCTGGACCTACTAAACATAAAGCTTCCATATGATCCAGCAATTCCACTCCTAGGTATTTACCCAAAGGACACAGAAACATCAATTCCAAAGAACACCTGCACCCCTATGTTTATAGCAGCACTGTTTACAATAGCTAAGCTTTGGAAACAACCCAAATGCCCAAAAATAGATGACTGGATCAAGAAGATGTGGTACATATATACCATGGAATATTACTCAGCATTCAAAAAAGATAAACACATGCAATTTGCAGCAACATGGATGGCGCTGGAAGGGATCATGCTCAGCGAAATAAGCCAAAATGAAAAAGAAAAATATCGGATGGTCTCACTCATAGCAGGAATCTAGAAAACTTAAATAAGGGACCAGGAAAATGAATATAAGAAAGTGAAAATCAAAATCAACAAAAAACTATGAACCAGAGACACTTTTTGGGGGGTGGGTGGCGGGAGGGGAAGGATTGGGGTCAGAATGGGGCGTTTGCAATTGTATGGGGGAATATAAAAATAAAATTTATTATTTAAAAATAAATAAATAAAAAATAAAAAAGGGAAACAGGGCCTCCCCTGGTGGCGCAGCGGTTGAGCGCTTGGTTGCGAGGGTGCCCGCAGACTATGCGGCGCCAGTTCAATCCCTGGCCACCGGTGAGGGTCCCACAAAAAAATAAATAAATAAAAGGGAAACAACTTCTAAAATTTAGAAACTACTTTACTTATTAAGATAATATACCTTTTAAAATAAAATGGTTTGGTTGAAGCTTGAAAATCTTGGATGTCTGCTAGATGCAAAGTTTTAAAATTTGAAGGTAATATAGTAAATAATGATAAGCAAACATCATTTCATAAGCAATGTAGAAGTCTTATGCAGCATTTGGCATGGTTCCTAATGTAAAGTTACATGTATGTGTGCTGGATGGATGAAGTAGAAGTAATTTTAAAATGTACTTAAGATTTTTCTTTATTTGTTCTGCCAGATAAGTTCCTAAGTGATATTAATGGTGATGCTACTTAGTTTTGGAGACCACACCGGGCAACTACTACTTCTACAATTGTTCTCCAGTCATCAAATAATCCTTTTACAAAGGTCAATCTTGCCAACTATTAACAGTCTTTCCTAAACTATTTTCAGTCTCATGCTCAGAACTTTTACTGCCCTTCTTGTGGTTACTTCCCAACTACTATTTGGTTTATTCTCCATGGAGGTTCTTCTTTGGAAAGCAAAAATACTTGCATGTGTTTTCTATTCAAGTAGATAACCCCCTCAATACCCTAACTTAAGCGTCTTCATTCCCCTCACATCTAGAATAAGCTATACAGCTAACAGATGATCTGTAAATGCTAATGCTCCTGACATCTATATATTCCTGTAAAACATGTACATACACTGTAAAAGAAAATGTAATTTTCAGATGAAAAATAAAGTCTTCCATGAAGGTGAATTACCTGTCATTAGGACACTGACTCGGCAATGTCCAGTCATGGTGTGGGTTGATGAGGAAACCCCAAGACAAGAAGACTGAACTTGGGGTCAGGGTGCCAACCACCAGCTGCAGAGGCTTGCGGGTGCGTGCTTTACCTGTGGCAGGAACAGACAGGTTAATTTTGATAACATTTTGTACATGTTCATGATTTGGGTAAAATGGACAATGATGACTTAGCAAGATGATGAAGAGTGTGAAAGCACAAAGTTCCTTCTCTTTTCATATAGTGCACAAATACTACTAATGCTTTACCCAGGAATTTAAGCAGGAGTAAATGAAGTACCCTTTTTGAGATTTATGTATTTTTTGTATATATTCATAGAAACTATACCCATTACATCTAGACTATTTTCTTGTGGGCCAGGGATGAATATGGTGAACTGGTATATATCAGTACAATAAACACACATAAACACACAGACTCTAAGCATGTGCACACTCCATTTCTTTAAAAAAAAATAAAACCATTTTTTTTTCCAGATGGGACTGTGAATTATTGTGCAATTAATATCAAAAAAGGACAGACAGCTTACCATCTAGATTCTTTAAAAAAACCAATTTGGAAGTTTAAAATTCCTTGCAATAGCATATTTTTTACAGTGAGTATTTAAGTGGAAAATGTGCACATATTGTTAATAATACTAGAACAGCATTAACATAGTCTTAGGGATTTGGACAAGGCTAGGAGTGATAAACCACTGCAGGTTTAACTGTTTGTATCTCCATAGAGAAATAATTCAAATTTATGTAACAGATACAAATATACGACGAATGGAAGCTTATCTGTTAGTTATTACAACATTCACAAATGCACAGTATAATAATAAAAATCATATCTGCTGCCTAAAAGGAAAGGTGGGGTGTTATATCCTGAGCAAGATATGAAACCATATCCTGAGAAAGATGAAACCATTTCCTGAGCCTGTCATTTAGAAAAATACTTTCCAAATCCAGTATCATTGAAGCCCCAAATGAAAATGAAGTTATAAATGTACAACCACTCCATTATACCGAGGCAATCATGTCTTCCTTTATATATTTTATTTTTATTAAGAAACATTTCAGTGACTATGAAGCCAGAATCCCATGGAACCACATTCATGCTTCTTGACCTTGTTACACATCTTGAAGTAGAGTCTTGCAATAGAGAGTACATTAATTTTGAAGCATGTGGAAAAATGCCTGGACAACTAACAAGTTGTGAGGAGTGATTAAATTTTCCCATGTGTTTTGGAAGAATCTAAGAATCCAGGAAAGAGAATTTGTATTTTTCAAAATGCTTAACCATTTACTGCTTCTCACAGAAAAGAGGGAAGGGGGTTTGCAAGGGCCTCATTATATTTGAAGACCTGTATGCTTCATCCCACTGCACCCCATCTCATCCCTTTAGAAAGAACAAATACAGGGCCTCCCTGGTGCCTCAGCGGGTTGAGCGCCATGCTGTGAGGCTGTCCGCAGCCTCTGCAGCACGGGTTCGATTCCTGGCCAGTCAGGGAGAAACCCACATGGCATGGCAGACCTCTCCTGCCTTGTCTGCTGCTCCCCTCAGCAGCATCTTTGGTCTGTCTGCCTGTTCTGCTCCCTGCTGTCTTACCCTCCCGTGCCTCTGACTGAACCCCAGTTCTCATATAAATAAATAAATCTTTAAAAAAAAAAGAACAAATACAAAAGATAAGTTTATTGTTGCTTTTATTTTTGTGTGGCTTGGCATGTAATACAAAAAATAAACATTAGGAAATATTTTGAGGATAGCTCACATTAGAAAATGAAAAGCAAACATTGCAATAAACTCTACCTACAAAGTTAGGAAAGTGAGCTACATGACAGCTGAAAAAAAAAAAAAAAACCCAAATAATTTACAGATGCAGCGGGTTTTTTCCTTATAACAATGGCTTGCTTTTTTATGTGGGAAGAAATTTTAGCAGTAAAACTGGGACAATAACATATCTTAACCTTCCTTGAGTTGTGTGGAAATGTTTTTATTTATTCATTTATAGGTACCTACTTGCCCATTTCAGGCCTTCCTAAGTCTGGGAGGAGGATGATACAGAGTTGTTACTTTATGAAAGGAGCTCTTGCTCTATTATTACAATAGAAAAGGTTTAGAAGGGAGAGATAACAAACAAAAATCTAAGTTCCAATCCGTTTAACACACCTATCAGTTATGCTTTTGAAATGTAAACAGCTCTTCAGCAGAGATTACACTGCAAATAGGCCAATAGGACACTGCATAAAATGAACACTTGCTGTGGGCCAGGTGCGATAACATATGTCTGAGCCCAATTCAGTCCTCACAGGACGCACTTATGTTGCAGAAAGGAGGCATCGAGAGGCTCAATCATTTGGCTAAATCCTGAGATTAGTAATTTGTTCAGGGATTTCTAGAGTGTCCCAAAGGCAACTGATTTATAGGAACATAAAAGAGAAGAAAAGTCATGTCTAAAGTTAATAGAAGGGAAAAAAAAAATACCTGAGCATGACTTCTTCTGACTTGGAGGAGAAGCAGGCCGCACAACTATCAGATATTTAGGTTCTGCATCTGGAAACAATAATATTATTTATCAATAAAAATTCTTTGAGCATGAGCAGCATTCACGCCAGCACACTCCTGTCCCATCTCAGTGTCCCTGGCTTTCATTACAACCACAGCACCTGTGGGTGAGATGTCCCAGGAATTCAGAAAGTTAGTATTTCCTGAGATAGTTTAATCAATTAAATTGTTAAAATGAAAATTAAATCCATATTTTCAAAATCAGGAGGACGGGGTGGGAGAGAGTTCTTAAAACAAGCATGCTAGACAAAAATTTCATGTCACAATTTCAAACTTTCTCTGTGATTTTTCTTGAAAAAAAAAAAAAAATCAGACTGCTTATCTGTTATCCTCCAACTCACAGAGGGTCAACTTGATACTTAAACATGGGAGAGAGGCAAAATCTCATTTACATAAGTGTGAACATACTGTGAACGATCTGCGACTCCCGTCTGGTCTAGCAGACAATAAGGCAAAGCCATCAGATAGGCCAGAAAAGGCTTTGTCCATGCAGAAGCTATGCAAGGATCTGATGCCTTTAGGTAAAATCCACCTTTCAGGCCCCACTCATGACCAAGAAACCAGTGAAAGAAGATCTGAACAATGGTATCCAGCCTCTATCTCCACAACACGTTCTTCAGATATCAGGGACATGATTAAACCCCAACATTTGCTCTCCTCTGCACACAGACAGCAGCAACATTTCTTTAGGTGAAGCTAACCTTTCAGGAAACTGAAAGGTCTAAGCCTTTCAATGAAGGGTTTAATACTGGAAGTACTCTGTTAAGAGTAGTTACATTTTTATGACCAATGAAATTACTACCAGTTCCTTTTCTTCTTCTAAGCACATGTTACTCTGTTGAACAGAGTATATAAACTGAACTCAAACTTGTGATTGAACAATATTCACAGAATAAAACTTGTCAGACTGGGGCCTCCTTGGTGGCTCAAGGGGTTAAACACTGCACTCTGAAGCTATCTGCAGCCACTACAGCACAAGTTCGATCCCCTGATGGCCAGGGAGCAACCTACATGGCGCAGCAGACCTCTCCTGTCTCGCCCACTGCTCCCCTCAGCAGTGTATTTCAGTCAGTCTGCCTGTTCTATTTCCCACTCTGTCTCTGGTGAATCCTCTCACCCTCCGCACCTCTGGTCTGTACCCCACTTCTTGTATGCATAAATCTTTAAAAAAAAAACTGTCAAAAAATCCATGCATCATGGATTTGAATCCTTACTTCAATTCTCTTATAAGCTGGATCATTAAGACTATTATTTCATCTAGTTCCAATTATGCTCAGTGAAATAAGACAGAAGGAAAAAGAAAAATATTGGATGGTTTCACTTACAGCAGGAATATAGGGGAACCCAATAAAAGATCAGTGTAAAAAAATAACAGTACAAAACACAACAAAGCAAAACCAGACAATTATAAATCAGAGACATCCTGCAGGGGAGGAGGAGGGAGAGGGCTCAGAGGGAGGGAGGGAGGAGCACAAGGGACTGAGGTGATGGTGCACGGGTGCATTGGTGAAGGAAACTCTATGGGGACTACACCTGAGGGGGTGGGGGGAAGCAAATATTGTTTAAAAATGAACAAAGTTGTAAAAAATTTAAAAAATTAATATAAAAAGTAAACTCCTTAACTTGAAAATATAAGACTATTATTTCAGATAATGTAAAATACATGGGAGTTAGCAGCTCACGATTACTCACTTTTGTAAGACTATGAAAAATTTTCATAATATATTCACCTACAATATCCTATTTTTATCCTCTTTATGTCAGTCTCAGCCTGTTACATTCAATAATTTTCATGAATAATTTTTAAATAAACAATCACAATTTTAGGTTGGTATGATTTTCACCTAAAATATACCAAAGAAATATAGACTGAGAATTTTTTTTAATAAAATGATTTTAAAGCAATCAGGTATTAACTTGATCAGGGGCTAATAAATCGCCATTCCTTTTAAATTTAGGATTCCAAAGTGAATAGCTTGTTTTACTATACAAAAGTAACTAAATTATGTTAGACATACACAATAGCATTTTATAAGCAGCTCTACTGGATTGATTGCTTGGTATTTACATTATATCTTTAGTAACTCTGGATCTTGAAACTCATTCTATGCCAAATTTCATTTGGATGCTGTAGTCAACCAGAATTCACTCCTACTTGCTCAGGCAGACCTCAAATTTTAGTTTTGTTTTCATTCTAGGTTCAAATACCTTCCCTCCATGAGTTTAGAAGAGACCGTTTCTGCCAAAGCTTTATAGAACTGACCTCATTCCCATCCAGAGACAACCTGGCAAATCAAGCACCTTTAATGACTCAAGCCTTTGTATCTTTCTGGATACCCCACACAGGCAGATTTGCTATAACTTGCCACAGTTACTACACTACATTAAGAAAACCAGGTAACCTTTTACTGACCTTAGAGCTTTGCCCCTTTATTGTTTTGGTGCCTCATGACCACAAAACAGAAAAAGGAGAATTCATTGTGTCTCAGTCTTTTGTGTTTGAAAGCTTATCTGGCTTTGTGGAGCTTAGAGAAGAAATACGTAAACTAAATCAAGTTCCCTGGTAGAAATATGATAGCCATTCCCTGATTTTAGTTGTGATATGGACCAATATACTCATTGAACTACCATACATGTTGTACTTTATTTGTGGAATAACAATAATTCCCCATGGCAATCCTGACATTATCATCACCCCAATTTGTAAATGAGGTCAATGAGGTAAGGTCAGTTTTATGGGCATATAACATGTAGAGTTACAGAGGGTCTCATATTAAGATGGTTCCCACTCTTGGTTTAATGGTCTGCTTTCACCATTTTGAAATTCTTCTTTTACTTTATTACTTTATTTTTTATTTACATTGTTCATTTTTTTGTACAGATATTTGATTTCTTCCCTTGGGTATAGTCCCCATAATTCTCCCACCACTGCAGCACCCATGAACCATCACCATAGTCCCTTGTGTTCTTCCCTCCTGTTTTTGCCCCTTTCTCTCCTCCACCCCTGCTGTATGCCTCAGATCTATGGTTTGCTGCAAATTTTGTCTTTTTCCTGACCCTTTGTTTGATTTCACTGTATTCCACCTATAAGTGAAACCATCCCAAAATTTTCTTTTTCCTTCTGACTTATTTCACTGAGCATAATCCCTTTTAGCTCCATCCATGTTGCTGCAAGTGGCATTAGTTTATCTTTTTGATTGCTGAATAGTATTCCATGGCATGTATATGTATACCACATCTTCTTGATCTAGTCATCCGTTTTGGGGCATTTAGGTTGTTTCCATATCTTAGCTATTTTACCATCTTGAAATTCTTGAAACGTTTATCTTTGAATTTGTGTTTTGTAAGGTAAGTCCAATGGGACAGATGGGACAATGGAGCACATGTGTGAGAGGAAATACAAACAGTATGCATGTAGGAATAATATTTGTAGGTCTACAGTTCCTTCCACTCATATGTAGTATGAACAATGCAGAGGAGTTCAGCAAGACTCAAGCACAAGGTAAGCTTTATTACATCTACTGCACAGTGAGGGGGAGACGGTGGTCCTTGCAGCGCGGAGAAACCACTCGTCATATAAAAAACTACTTAATGCAGAAATAAGGCAAAGGCATTTTAAGACACAAGTGACTAATGAATCCATTCATACTCTTTTTATGTTATTTCCCTGTGTTAATTAATCATTTATGCTGAAAATGATGTAGGAAGAGAAAACCTAGTGCGAACTTCACTTCCTTTTCAGTTTTTCTTCACTCATGTCAAAGAAAGTTTTAGTACAGTGTGCATATCAAGCCACGATGTGAAAAGTTGAGTAAGTCTTGTATACTGCCAGTACTCTGGGAAGAATGAAACACATTTGTATTTTGAATACATACAAATTGTCTAACTTCAGAAATTCTGCGTAGGAGTTAAAGGTTCATCTTTGCCTTTAAAATTAGCATTGTACAATATAAAAATGATGGCAAAAATTAATGTTTTAAATTTTTATTTTGTTTGCTTAAATGACAAAAAGCAAGTAAAATACCAACATGATAAGTTGAGAAGGAAACTCTGCAAGGAAAAAAACTTTCTTTTTAAGTTCCATTAATGACAATTTTTTCCTGTTTTTTTTTTTAACCACGGGCCCTGCACTTTTATTTTGTACTCTATCCTACAATTACATAGCTCTTTAGTCCCCAAAATGCCTTTATATTAAATCTCTGAAATTCTCTCTTTGAAAACAAAGTTAAATCCCCATTTTTCTTAATTGTTCTCATTGTGGCAGGGTCCCTTACAGCTAGCTAACCTTTTATTTCCTTCCTTGGTACACATTAATTCAAGTATGCTTCAGTGATTAAAAAAAAAAGGCTTGAAATGCTAGAAAGATACCAGTAGGAGCCAAAGATAGTGCCATGATTCAAGACATATGGTTGTATGAACAGCTTAAAAATAATTTGTTATGATCACAGTCATTTTGTATAAAACATAGGCTGTTATAGTCAGTTACAAATTGGAACAGATGTCGGGATTTGGGTTCATATGCTGGCTCTCATTGCTCATTAAAAACTTCCAACATGCGTGTATTTCAGCACTGCATCAGGACTCAAACTCAGAAAAATGAAAAAAAAAAAAAAAGACTTCTGTTTCCATTCTGCACTATGAAATTCTTTGTAAATTTGTAGCAACATGGAAATATATACACTGTAGCCTGTTCAGAAATTCTGCTACACGTGCCAAAATCTATGACTTCATTTAGAAAACATACAATTGTCAATTTAAGAAAATGTGTAGAATGCAGTTACCGTAACAAATTTTCTATTCCTAACATTAACATAAAATATTGCCATCTAATTAAATCTAATTTGCTCAAGATTTTAAATGTCTGGTGGTGAAGGATAGGATAGCTTACTCTCAAGGAAATCTACTACTGAAATATTTTTAAAAGTACTAGATTTGAAGCAATGCAAATAATCCTCCCGTAATTAGTTTAATAGACTCTAGTTCTCACA